TGATGAAAATCGACGAAAAGTGTTTGCATTTTGTTAAATAAATAAAATATATCAGGTAAGTATGATTGGAGGTGAAAATATGCTTAAAATAATAAGATATGCGTCACAGTGGTCCACGTCCGACAAATGTGTGTAAAATTTAAAGATATGTATTAGGTAAGTATCGTCATTCAACATTCAACTACGCAGACCAGCAGAGAAGTAGCAGAAAACACTTCTTAAGAAAACACATCTCCTACACAGAGTATTTCGCAACAATCACAACAACTCAGTGAAACCTGTTAATCCACATTCACAACAACTCAGTGAAACCTCTTTATTATATATCATGCGACGTTTCGGTATGGATTCTTATACCGTTGTCAAGCAAGAGTGAAGTACTACAGCTCAGAACAGACTTATATACATGAACAGGGATTAAGTTCAACCACTACCCGTCGAAACTAGTCGATAAAATTATCAGCACCACACTCCACCCAACAAGAAAACCGGCCTCCAACAAACCTGAACGAGCACCTATTCGTATCTCCCTCCCCTTCATAGGGAAAACCTCTCACCACATCAGCCGTCTCCTCAAGCGAGAAGCAGGCATCGAAACCTACTTTACCAGCTCTACACCACTAAAAACCCTACTGAAAGCGAATGGCAGGAACACCTCTAAACGACAACATCAACCCAAAGGTGTTGTCTATAAAATCAACTGTGCCTGTGGCGAGGCCTATGTAGGCGAAACCTCCCGGCCCATAAATATTAGAATCAAAGAACACTTATCATCTACCACTAAATCTGATAGAAAATCGGCAATATCAGACCACATCATTAACTGCCCCAATCACAACATTATTTGGGACAATGTGGACATATTATCCAAAAACCACCAGGACTTCACCAAAAGGAAACTTGCAGAAGCAGTTCAAATCCGGAGACACAAGCCCTCAATCAACAGAGACCAGGGATATCTCATCCCTTCTGCATACAATGATCTCATAAAAACAACAGATTAGAGTACCTCAGCCATCATTGTTAATTAATCTCATCAGCATGTATATTTTGTTTTTTACATCCACCACCATTGGCTTCCTATTGTCACTACATTATTGCCACAGTGCCTTGTTGTTATTGTTAATCCCCCTCATTCAGTCCTACATGTTGTTATTACTTAATCCCTGTTCATGTATATAAGTCTGTTCTGTGCTGTAGTACTTCACTCTTGCTTGACAACGGTATAAGAATCCATACCGAAACGTCGCATGATATATAATAAAGAAGTTGTTATCCATAAACTTTCTTACTTTCTTATTAGTCACCAACTTCTAAATGCCAATCAAACAGATCAACTCAGTGAAACCTGTTAATCCTCCCACAACAATGAAAACAGTCGGGAAATTATAATGAGTAGACTAATTTTGTCCTTATCATCAGCTTTATCATCGTCACCGAACCGATCATTTTCGTTGTACACATTCTAAGTACAAATCAAACTTAATATATACTATTATTCAATTATTAATACACGTCTATTAAATCACCGTCTACGAACCAGTCAGGGTTACGAATCCACCGCGTCTACGAAACGGTTCAGTCTACGAAATCACCGTATCCCGTTTGGAAGAGTTGTGAATATTATGAGGCCATTCAATACCTTCAGCGTGTATGTTGTCAGGACTGCACAGACAGTTTATATAACACACAAAACCAAAAGATGAGCGGCGCTATTGTATCTCGATCACTGCCAGTACCACGACCGTGCTTTCTCATGTAGGGGTTAAAAACACTGCTCCGAGTCAGAACACAATAGGCTTGAAATCTTCATTCTAGCTTGTAGACAGTGTGTTTCCAGGCCCAGTTTACGGTGAAGTCTTCAACATAAACATCGAATCTCGACAAGTGGGAATTTCAAGCCGAGATGAACAGGCGTCACTGGCGGATCTACAGTGACTCGTCCTCCGATGCTGAACATTAACCACAACTATTTGAGACATACAGTTCCCTGTTATTCACATCGGCTTCTGCTGTCGTGTGTACTACTCCAAATGCTTCCTTTTATCTGCTTGTTTGTGAACAGTTCTTAACATGACGACTGGCCCGACAGTGATGGCCGACTGACGTTCAGGCGAGATTTAGGACACGTAGTTAAGTTCAAAATGTTTACACTTTACAAGTGTTTTGATGAATTACATTATTGCATTTGAAACCAAATCCTCAATTGAAAAGAATTAAATTTTGATTCTGACTTGATTCTGTCTTAATTTGTTTATTTTCTTGACTAGTTAAAGGAAGTACATTGCCTCTATGCTGCATACATTTTCCTGGAGTGAAGCGGTTAATATTCCGATCACCAATATGATGTATTAATCCGCGTTTCCTATTATAGGAAAGCAAAATATTGCTTTACTTCATTTTTTAGAACGTGGGTCATAAATAGGATGCAAAACTTGTTCCCCTTTCATATCAAGTTTATGTCCTTGTGAAATAATTTTGCATAAACTTGATATGTAAGATGAAGCTCGTTTGATATCCTATAAATAGTATATTCGGAAAGATATTTGCAACTATAATTAACCGCAGCTTAAAAACATGGGCAGAAAATGATAAGATATGCGAACTCGGAAGAATAAGCAGGCTTTAGGCCCGGATACGCAAAAAAAGGAAGAAAAAAAGGGACAACTTGTTCACACTTACTGCTTGTATGCAGAAAATTTGAAGTAAACTTAGAGGTTGATTCTGTGTTGCCTTTGTAGACTTTAAAAAAACAAATACTTAATTTGATAGAAATACACTTATGTATGTCCTCCAAAATGTGGTCTACCTGTTAAAATGTTGAATATGATTCGGTCTATGTATTCGTCTGTAACAACATGCGTAACGCTGGTTTTGCTGAGTGTTTTGATTGTCCCATGCGGCCCAAACAGGACTGTTTATTAAGCCCAATTCTATTTACTCTTTTTTTATGAGTTCGCTGCCGATATTTTTGATACTTGTCGAAGGGGAGTACAGTTATACCCTGATTTACAAGAACTGTTTCTACTGATGTTTGCTGATGATGTTATTTTCATGTCTGATCGAGTAAGTAGGATACACGAGCAACTGAATATTCTAGATTACTACTATTCAACGTGGTAGTGAAATGTCAACCTTTCAAAAACAAAAATAATTAGAAATCCTAAACCATGTGAAATTGTAGAAGTTTTTTCAGAATATAAATGCTTTGGGCTACTGATGAATTTAACAAAGGAAGTATCCCATTTGGCGTTAAGAAAAGGACATTAATGAATGTTTTAAACTTAGTTTGGACACATGGAAAAGTCCCACTCCAAACATTTTTCAAAAATGTATTAAACCCATCCTTCTTTACTGATGCGAAATATGGGGTCATCAAAGACTAGAGGTGGTAGAAAGCGTCCAGTTTCTCGTATGTAAGCACTATCTTGGTACAGGCATTAACACTCCTAATGTGACAGTTCGGTGAGGTGCATCAAACATTGGCTTAAACTACTTCTCATGCCACATAATCGACTTCCACGTAAGGGTTACGAGATGTTAGTTAATCTTGATTCAGGGAGACATAATTGGGCAAGTAATGTTAGACATCTTATTTACTAATATTTAGTTCAGGTCTTGGTTATGCTTGGGTCTATCAAGACGTTGGATGTATAGCTAGCTGTTTTCTCAGCATTTTTCAAACCAGATTAAAAGATATGTACAACCAAGAATGGACAAATATATTAGCATCTAGCACTAGATATGAATGTTATGCAAGTTTTAAGATTAGCCTTGAAGCAGAAAAATATGTAATAGTTTCGACCTTGTCTACATTTGCAACCGACTTTGCTGGTGCTCGAGATGGATGTACACGGTTAAATATTGATACCGGACGACATAATATAATTGCAAAGTCTGAAAGGGTATGTACATATTGTAATTAAAACAACATCGAGGATCTGTACCATTTCACCCTCATATGTCCATTCTTAAAGAACATTTGAAAGAAATACATGCCAAATAAATATTTAAATCGCCCTTCAGGACAACAATTTGTTCGCCTTATGGCAACCGGAAACTATCAAGATTTCAAATCTGTAATGTTATATTTCAGATATGCCTTCAAGCGTAGAAATGAAATGTGAATCTTTTGTTTAATTGATCATATACTTTACCATGTAGACTTCATGTACACTATGGCCTTTCATACAAGAAACAATTGAATTTGAATGAAAAAACCTATCTAAAGGTTTGAAAGTGATTCAAATTCACACCACAATAATCTTTTAGTAGGAGTACATTTGATGTATAAATTATCTACGCTACATTACTACTTTGAGTAAAAAATAATTCGAAACATATTTTGTACACTTTCAATGACCATTATCTAAAATTGTCAATAACTGAAGGGATGGTGTAAATCCAGCTAGGTTCTATGCAGGTAGCAAATGTGCTGTAAGTCCCCATGGTCCCTTGTATGGTGATCTACCTTCAGTTGTTGGCGATCTGATAGTTTTTATATGGTATCATCTTGTATACTTAAAATGTTTAGTTTAAATTACTAGTTTTAAATTTTCATCTGTGATAAACTAGTTGTTTTACTTCGCTGACAGGTCTTATAATTTACCTATTATTATTGTAAATATATAACTTGGTATAGTCACAATATGGCTGAAATACTGCCGATGTGACTTAAAATTCTAACTCACTCACTCATTCAATGACTGTGGTGAACATGTTTAGCATGGAACAACTATCATATATCGTTATAAACTGAAAATAAAACGAGATGGGTATTTGATGATGATATGATGGTATCATTGCTATGTCTAGAGGTTACGTCTGCATTGTTTCAGCGACTGTGTTCAGCCTCGTATTATTTAATATTCATGTTTTGCTTTCAAGTGCAAACTTTCATTTACCTAAAAGTCTACCTCATGATTATCACTCAAGATTGTAACTGCTTTCATATTTCAAAATATAAAAGTTGGTAGATTTTATGTCCCTTTTTGTTACAGTTACCCCGTTTTCAGTTACCATCACATCTATATATGGATGCCTCTTGGAGTCCAGCAGGTCGGCCACGCATCCCTACATTTAAGTAATGGCGAATATATCAGTTGGTGGCCTCAAGAGGTCGGATCTGGGCTAAAGAAACAACGAAGATTCAACCGCAGCTTGAAAGACGACAATGTAGCAGAGAAAATGCCTCCTGACTATGAATATAGGATTTCGTCTACAAAATTAGACCTGGATGAAATGATGAAGAGGTGGGAGAAACAAAAGGACACATCACGGTATTCCTTACTTCGTCAGAACTGTTGCAGGGTAGTGTACAATGTCCTCCGAGCAGGCGGAGCCCCAGAGAGTCTTACAATTGTTTGGAGACCAGAAACTTTACGGAGATATTTGGTCATTTACCAGGGAGGTGGGTCAAGCTTAAAGACTCTGCTTAACATGCCAGGTTGGGATTCCCCTTTTAAAGGTAACTACCATAAACTGATAGCAAACCTTGGTTTCATGTCTATCAGAACATTGATACTGCTAACTACCCTTCTTCTGATTGGTTGAATTACCAATGTACAAGGTAGGCCTCGCTACGTTCCCCTGGCGATACTGATTCAGAATCGCCCCCCTTCCCATTCACTGATAGAGGATAGGTCAATAGATCCCCCCTTTCAAACCTTGGTTTCATATCAGTAAGAAAACCACCAATTGATCATATGGTTCTAACTTACCTTCTGATTTGTTGAATTGTCACTTGCATTGTCACGCTATGTTAACCTCACGTGAAGTGAACACAACAATCCGTAAGCCCAATTTGGCTGAAAATTAAATGGTAAACACCCATTACATAAACTCCTGGCCGCCACCGTGGTGTAGTGGTTAGAGCGTCCGCCCGTAGAGCGGAAGGTCGCAGGTTCGATCCCCAACCGCATCATACCAAAAGACGTTAAAATAGGGTACTTGTTGGTCCCTGCCTGGCACTCGGCATTAATGGGTACAACAAGAACTGGTCGGCTCGGAGTCAGTATAATGTGTCTGAGTGGGGTATTCATGCTTCACTGCGGCATGGTATCTCAGTGGGCTAGCACTTTAAAACCAGCTTCAGTCTGGGCTAGTACAAACAGCCGCACATACACATACACACGCATGCACGTCGTCATATGAGCGAAATATTCTCAAGCACGACGTTAATCCCAATTTCACCTCACCTCACCCCACCTCACCTCACCTCACATAAACTCCTGATATCGCGTGTCTGTTGCAAGGTAGGCATCGCTATGTTCCCGTGGAGATAGTGACAGAGGATAGGTTGATAGAACTAGATGTAAGCTAACTATACTTGTCTTATCAAACTATTTTGTTATATGTAGTTATGTGTTATGTAATACAACGTCTTTCGGTTGAGCCAATGATTTATCGGCCTTCGTGTCGGGAATATCACTTGTCCAAGGTCGATAAATCATTGGATGAACTAAAAGTAAAGACAATAATTGTATTATGGTAACATGACACCATCAGCAATTGGTCTGCACATGGGACAACTACATGTATATATACTGATGAAGGGATTCATGTAAATGTTGGCAAGATGAACAGTGACGAACTTTATGTTTTACAGCTAACCATCAGTTTCTAAAAATACCAATCAAACAGATCGTTGTCAAGTTCTGTCCAAACATTCATAGCAGATCCTGATGTTCACCAATGTGTCTCATGAATGTAATAAGCATATTGTGTAAATATTTCAGAGAAAATAAAGATGTACACATGGGAAGCTATGGATGGAAATGAAAGACACTTTGCACTATCTCTGGATGAGTCAGTGTACGTAAGTTGGTGGCCCCGTACCTCTCGTGCAGCAGAGCATGCAGGAGAAAGCTTAATGGAAGATCGAGAAACGATTGGACGAGTGGAGGATAAGACATATATCTTTCCTGACAACGGGATGGAGTACCACCTGATGAGGAGACGCTGGAAGCAAATGTGGCAACATGAAACATCTAACATGTGGGAAACTACCTCGGACTGGGTGGTGTGTAAGATTCTGAGTGCAGGCGGCCTGTCTTTTTATGATTTAGGGAAATTAATCACGGAAAACGGAATGTTTGAAACCAGCGGAAGAAAGTTATCATCCAATTGTAAGGCCTCTGAAAAGGGATGCCGCCGACTGGATGTATCGACTTTGTTTGCATTGTAAATATAAATGATTGAATAATTGAGAAGAGAATGATGACAGAGAAAATATTTACTGAAATCTGGCAGAAACAATGTTTGCGTTCAGATACCTACGGCATACCCATATGCTCTACGATACTGTGTCAGCCTTGGCATTTGAGTGATGCTGATTATCAGATCATTCTCATGCATTGAGATGCATTTAAATATCCAAATAAGTAAGATCCTTCAAGCTTATTGGACAGTGGATCGAGTTCTGCAGTTTGCTGGAGCCACATAGATTTGAATAATTGTCACTGTGTACAAACCAGATACTTTCCGAAGGTATCGGTTGGTTTACTGCGACTGTGGATACGTAGCCGAACAGGGATGATGTACGAAGCAATGGCCAGTGAATGAATTAGTTTTAGGGCGCTTTGTCAAGATCACACAGTAATTTGGTTTGACTGTATATATTATGTTATAGTGTGGTTGGACTGTATGTCGTGGTTGGGTGTTTGTATGGTGAAGGAATCAGTGAAAAACATGCAAGGTGGGCCGAGCGCAGAAGGGAAAGCATGGGAAATGTGACTATACTACCCTAGACTCACTTAAAGCACTCACTATATGTTATGTATATATGTATTGTTACATCGAAAGTGAATTTCTCTACTAACTGGGGGGAACCAACTGCAAAATTTATGTATAGGAGAAAACACTTCTCCTTGGTTTTGGTAGACAATGTAAAGCCGGAGGGGGAAGGAGTTCCCGACCCAAATGGTTTTACATTGTCTACCAAAACCGAGAAGTGTTATCTCTTACATATGACTCATCTGAGAAATTAGTTTAAAGCATTGCGTTATAAAGAATCATGAAAATAGTATAGCGCGAAAGTGGGGAAAGAACCGTGTAAATGCACGAGATTTTCGTGATCGTGTCACACAAAATTAAGCAATACATTTTTTTAGTCTCATTACATTTTCATTTATTGAAATTGCAAATCATGGAATGATGCAATAGAAAGGCGAAACGTATGTACACACGATTAACAAAATGAAATGAAATGGTATTGAGCAATAATAGACTTACAAATCATCAAAAGCACGTACCCGCGAAACAGTCGAGCAAAATGTGCTGCATTGATGGAGCAACATGTTAACATTAAAGTTCAAGTCAGTTGTGGACAGTGAAGCAGTGTTCAGTAACGCGTATGACCACCATGACCACAAATACAAGCTTCTACACGTCTTGGCATTGACCAAATGAAGCATTAAAGTTGCTGTTGTGGAATGTTCTGCCATCCTCTCTGTAACGCCTGCTCAAGGTCATCCAGAGTCTGGGGCGAACATGGAGACCGTAAACACGACTTCCAATAATGCGCCAAGCATGTTCAATGGGATTAAGATCAAGTGGCCTTGCAGGCCAGTCCCAATGTGTGATGTTTCTGATATAAACAAGATCGTTAACAACTCTTTCTCGGGCTTTATCATCCACGGACGGGCATTATCATCCATAAAAATGAAGTTAGGACCCGCTTGTTGTACCAGAGGAGTGATTACAGGTGGTTTACTGATATGTTTTAACCGATCAGAGCGCATGGGTGAAGTGTGGAACATGTGCATGCCACAAGTTTTGCATGTTGTTTCTGAGGGTGGTTGTGTTCTGGTGATATTGTCAATGTTATCAGATAAATCAATTTGACAGTCACTAAAGGTTATGTATTCTTCGAATATTTACCTTTCAGTAACATGTTGCCAAAAATCGCTATCGAGATTGATAAAGATATTACACTGAAAATATTTGTTGCTTATTTTTTTGTTACGAGTATATATACCACATGATAAGCTAGCACAGCTCATTGCAAATCATATCTTCAAACATGAGTGACGAGGAGAAGGCAGCGTTAGGAGACACGACACGGTGCTGTGCCTAACTGGTGAGTGCTTGCTCAGATGTTTTCATCCTTAAAATATGTGTTTTTCTGACAAATCCTTGTCGCCTAATGAACTACTTTACATATTATGTTATTTGTGAATGTTCAAAACATTAAATATTTGTATTTCCAGGACTAAATTCCGCGCTACGAGGTGGGAATGAACTCCGCAGTCTGCGACTACAACAGAACCCTCAGATTACAGGGCCACATGTTGACCAGAATGGACGCAGATATTTACAGTAAATGGAGGATGTATCTAAAACCAACCCCGGTGAAGTCAAAGATCGTACCGTGCAATAGCAAAAGGTGAGAGCCTATGAAAATAAGGAGAATCCAGAAAGATGCCACCTTCGCCTACTCGAAAAATACAAGTCACTTTGGTAAGTTTCTAGGTAAGCGTTCCCCCCGTTCTCCTATCCCAATAAATTTATAAATTAATAAATACTCAAATTATTAACATAACTTAACACAACAATTACTAGAGAGCTCACAAAAATGACTAAAAGTCCAAGCTTTAAGTTAGGGTTAGGGTTAGGTTTAAAGTTAGGATTATGGTTGGGGGAAGGGAAGGAACTCTTTGCCTTTTTGGAGATTCGGCACTTGAAGTTTCTATGAAATATTCACTTGTTTATATAAAACCTGCATTGTAAACATGTCACACCCGGTTCTTATTATAAGATTTATGATAAATTTAATAAAAACATTATTTAAAAAACCTTCTTCAACACGGGCAAACGCTTGTTATTTCACTGCTTTGAAGAAACCTAAGGACGGAATATATATAGTAGGACCAGAAATTATTGAGAATTTTAGGAATATGTTTAGTTGGATTTCTAGTGAGCGTAGTATAATGTTTTGTAATGATATTTTTAGTTGGCTTTTTTGCTATTTAGAAACACATCACGTTTATTATTGAGAGAGAAACTCTTGCTATATTTTGGCATATCGTTCACATATAAACAGCCATTGGTATTCAAAAGAGTAGGTTTGGGCGAGGCAAATTTACTTTTGTTTAAATCCAGTGCCATTCTAATGGACTCACACTGTAAACATTTCACAAATGTTTGTTCTTTTGTATAGCTGTAACGCACTGCAACAAATAATTCATTGTCTTCGTATAATTCTGCAAATAAATGTATTTTCTTACTAATATTAAATATGACTTGACCACCATTTCGTTCGGATCCCTCTGGGTTAATTTGAAAAGATAATAAAATATTTTGGATTCAAAACGCATTCCAGGATGGAACTGGTATTAAACACGAAATAATCATTCTTCATTCGAACAGAGAAGGTACCATTGATTGACAAACACCAGGGAATAACCAGCATTGATTATCCTGATCCCAGATGACGATTGGAAATCAGTGATACCTCCAGGTGTTCGCGAGACAGGTACATATCCCCCACCACAGCAGCATCCGCCGGACCAGGGACCATATATAGTCTCTGGCCTGACTAACCATTTTCCAAAAGAAAGCAAACGTTTGTTTTATTACCCAATGCCCTCATCTGATCTAAAAGGGAGTGAAGCTGCCGTAAAATCTTTCCTTGGTCTCTGAGATGTGCTCATGTTAACAGGCATTGTATTTGTTATCAGGGTTGTTCACTCCCCGTAAATACCCTGGTTAGTAGAGGTCCTCAGCACCTCAGCACCTCAGCTTGTCACTTTATCCCAACTGCGTAGATCGATGATCATGATGTCAAACCCTACATTTCCTCGAGATTTTGTAAGTATACACAGGCCCCAGTCAAATAGCTGAAATATTGCTCATCATGTGTGCGGCCATAAATGTTCAGAATCCCCGTGATGGGATCCGAACCACGGACCTTCTCGTTCGCATTTGGACGCCTTATCCACATGACCACAGAAGTTAACAACATCAGCAAGCTGACAAGGTAACGATGTCATCTGTGGGATGACTCCACGCCCTGCTACACGTGGAATAAAAGAACAAGCAATCGAACAATGCGGTTTAACTATAGTGAACGTATGTGGTCACGTATTGAGTGAAGCTATCGTAAAATACCCGCATTTCTCTGTCGCCTTTCGCTGTAATATCAGGCATAATCGTTATTGATATTACAAGATAACCAAATGACAATATGTAGGAATAAATGCTTTATTCAGTATTTTAGGCCTTTTCTTGATAACCATACATTTACTAGTTGTCCGATATTCATATATGACAACGCCACACCTAACCCTTTTCGACCCGTCACTGTCCATTTGCAGAACAACGACTTCGGAACATAACCAGGGCCCACAAGGAACCCCGAATTGAAACATAGCAAACAACTTGGGGAATATTTTGGACGAACCAGTTGGAGGAAGTCCTGTTCTTAATCTGCACGAACCGCTGTAGGCAGTCCATGAGGAGTGGCAGAGGATTCCGATGCTCAGAATTCTACGCTTGGTTACCAGTATCCCTGAGGGTGCGTTTCTGTATACGGAGACTTTGCCTCGCTAGAATCGTAAAACAGAAACCTACCCTAAGACGAGTCCATTCCGCACTGTTTTCTTGATCGGAATTGTCCAACTATTGTAGCTGCATGTAAATATTGCTTAACCCGGCGTCTGCAACTCTGCAGCTACATGCGGCAAGTCAATACTATAGTATGAGATGCAGTCGATTTCGTTATACATGTATATCAGATAGGAGTAAACAGTGGCGCTATTTCGCGATGCACAATATCACTCTTAATCACACAAACGGGAATTATAACATGAACCGGTTTAAGTTATGGCTTGAGGAAAATGGACTCGTCTGCCCTTTTCGGTATCGGGTAGGTTTCTGTATTTTGGCTTTGTGTGGGGTACATTACAGTAAACATAAACGTAACAAGCGTACATCTGTAGTACTCAGGCCGACAACGACCACTTTCAGCGCCAGTATGAGGAGGAGGCTGACAGATGTTATCCCTGCAAGGAGTGGCTACTCAAGGTACTGATGTGGTCACCAGTAGTGGTTTATACAATCACTTCATTTATATACTGAACCACAAAAGAAATGTCGCATCGATAGCGGTTTCTTATGGCACATACTTTAATTCACTCTAATTAACAATTAAAACGGAGGACTGGGTTTTTAACTTGACAATTATGGTTAACACATTTTCGGGAATCACACTGAGAGTTTACACAAACAAAATCACCAGAAATAGTACCATTAAGAAACCCCAAAGTCAGTATCGTCTGTGTTGCCTCTATGGGCATCGATGAAAGCGTTGCATCGTCTGTACATGGAATGAATTAGCCGGTTGATGAAGGCCATAGGCACTTGGGTCCATACTCTGTGAAATGCCTGATCGAGTCCACTCGCAGTTGATGGCCTTGGT